AAAAGAATTCTAAAGGTGACTGGTGGACTTCCTTAACTTTGATTATTTATTATAATAGTACAACTTATATAGTACAACTTAATATGTTGCAATGAAAAATGCATCAAATAACTCATACCCAACATTATAACATCAAAAAACTAGGAAAATAATTAATAAAAATAATATGCCTCTCTAATATGTCAAACAACAGTGACAAAGCTTTGACCTTCAATAACTCAACTAAACTACAGTATGATAAAAAATATGAAATATATAATGTAATTGTATCTGATTAAAGATAATATAATTGTTTCGTTTACATTATCAAGTGTCCTTGGAAGATGTTTTCAACCTCTGAGCTCATTCTTTAATTATTCATCTTCATTCAACTAATCACATGCTGCAGATGGTTATTATGATATTGTCTGTTGTAACGTTAAAGCCAAGAAAATGGGTGGGACAGAGAGACACACACCTGCGTTGTAAAACTGCCTGGATTTGGCCAGCAAGTCCAGACTTGGTGAAGTGCAGCAGCTCAGACGCAGAGGGAAGTTTAGAATCCAAAACAGCTCCACGGGATGAAGAAGGATTACTAAAGAGGTGGAGGATTCCTGAGTAAATCTGAACCTACCAAACAGAGAGGAATCTGTCAAAGCTGCTCTGCTGTCGGCAGTCACTCATTCATCAAAACAACGTGTTCCGTCTGACTTCTTTGGAAGTGCATTCCTGAACAGTAAGATTTCCGTTCAAGCACAGTGGCTGCTCCATGAGCTGCTCACACACACTTTATAAGTAACTCTCTCTGTCACACACAGACACACACACTCACCCTGTGTTTAACCTCCACTTCCTGGTTCTTCTGTAGAGTCTGATGACCTCAGGCGTCACATCATGACGGAGTGTCCTCTAATCTGAGGAATGTTTCCAACGGGGATAAATCAACTTTTCCTCCACTGCTTCTCTTCAGTGTATCCACACGATCTGCAGATTACATGTCTTCCTGTCACTGTACTGAGGCCACTCCTACTCTCTGCTCACCTGACCTTACCTGTGCAACCTGTGTTACACAGAGCCAGAAAATATTGCATTTACTTTTGTAGACAAATAGATAAACTAAATGGATAATGGATAGATAAACTAAAACAATTGATACTTTTAATATACATTCAAAACTATCTTTTGGCTTAGTTTATTTATTTATTTTAGGTTATATTTTTACATTTTTAGTAACTTAATGCTTAATAAACTATCTTTGCTGGTATTCAGCCTGAAGTCTGATCTTAAATAGACAATGTCACACATGTAAATGTATGACATTGTCTATTTTTCAGAGATAATCAGATAATTTAACAAGTGCCCATTTGCGAAAGACAGGAGATAAAGAAAGGGAAATGAATTATTAATAATAATAATAATGATAATGACAATAGTACTACTACTACTACTACCACCACTAATAATAATAATGTTCCTCCTGAGTCTCCACCGTGTCACAAGAAACCGGAACCGGATGTGACGCAACCCATAGAACTGCAAAGGGACCGCGTTGGGTAAGAAGTCTCTGCTCTCCGACTAAACGCTCATCGCCATTCATCTTATTTTATACATACATGAACATATAGAGTGGGGTTTAAACCAAGTTTAATCCCGTATTCATATTAGAAGTCAAGCTTTAGCTAAAATCATTTCACCAACGCGAGAAGGCCTACAGCGTTTCCTTTAGCCACCTAGCTGTAGCTAACGTAGCCACTTCGCTAATGCTACCTTGTTAGAACAGATAAGTAATGGCGTTTTAAAGCTAGTTGATTATAATGCAAACTCCCGGATATTTTATTATTAGTGTTATGTTTTCTCCTTACTCTACTGACATTTACTTACCCAGTTAATTCAACAATCGATTGTACCTCCCTAAGTAAATGTTTGCCGCGTTAGTACCTGGTGTAAATAGCTTAGCCGCCCCCCTCGAGTGAATTACAAACAGGGCGATCTTTTTAAAAATTATTTAAACATGGCATGTTTGGTCAGCTAACCCATATTTTGTCCTAAGCATATTTTCATTCGGTATTTTACTGTAAAGTTATTGTGCTTCTCTGAACTTTTAAAAAAATGTGTGTTTTGCTCTCCTATTCTGAACTGTATGATGCTTGGCTCTCTTATGGCTAATTGCAGTGTTTATATGAAACTGAAGTCAAATCCCGTGTCTATTATTCTGTATAAAATGTGTTAAAATGTTAAACTTCTATTGTTTTGTTGTTGATGTCGTTTCATGATGATATGTGGTTGTCACTTGTCCACATTCTACAACCATGGATTCATTGTGTATGCTACTAATGACCTGTTAACCGATATCCCTCTTTCCCTTATAGATGTCTATTAAACACAGAAATGAGCGGTGAGAACATCAAGTTATTTGTTGGGAACCTTCCATTAGATGCAACGCAAGACGAGCTGAACAAGCTCTTTGCTCCATATGGAGAGATCAACACCTGCTCCTTGTTGAGGCAGTATGCCTTTGTTACACTGAAAGGAGAAGGTGCAGCTGACAGGTACACATCACACAATGTCAAGTTTTTTTTTGTGTTATGTGTGAGGGGAGGTCACAGTAAAGCTACTTTACTGCAAAGATGTAAAGTGCATTATAGACTAAATTAATCTGTAGAGTTTGTGTTTTTCCATGTGTTTGATATTTGATGTAGTGATTTAATAAACATCTTGTGTATGTGTGTTCTTACAGGGCCATACGTCATCTCGATGGTAAAGAGTACAGAGGGAGGCCTTTAGTGGTAGAGGAATCCCGTGCACGTCCTCCAAACTCTACTAAAGTGTTTGTGGGCAACATCAGTGCAACATGTTCAGCCGACGACTTGCACGGACTGTTCTCATCCTATGGAAGAGTTCTAGACTGTGATAAAGTCAAAGGTGGGTCAGTTTTGTTGCTATTGATGTAAAAAGTAGGGGTGCACTGGTTACAATTTTTGGGTGTAACTTTTCTCCATTTTTTTCAATTGACAGCATACACAAATAATAAAATGTGTTCTGTGGTTCAACGTGTTTATTTCATCACAAGCAATTATGAAACATTTCCCACAAACGGCACACAAAATTTGTAAATGTTTGTTTTCAAAAAAAGGTTCTTTTTCAAAAAAAGGTGTTTATCTTTAACACACACTGACCTCAGTTTTCTATCGCAATAGCCCGATTATGTTCAAATGTCGGCTACGCCTTTGTACATATGGAGAGGAAAGAGGAAGCCCTGGTAGCCATCGAGGCCCTTAATGGAACCATGTTTAAAGGCCGTCAGTTGGCGGTGGAACTGTCCAAAGCTCAGCCTCTGATCAACCAAATTGCATCCGCTGGAAATTTAGGTAAATGTCACTGTGAGGTGAAGATAACGGTTTCCCTTGAAATGACTGTAAATGTATATTTAATTGATGAGATATATTTCGTCCTTCAGGGGGGAGAGAGGGCCTACTTCCTCGACCACCTCCATCACTTGAGCATCATCAGAGTCAAGCGGCTGTGTTAGCAGCAGCTGCTGCAGCTGCCGCTGGGCTGCCCATACAAGTGAGTCCTGATCTGCCGTTTGTCTGTCATTGTTGTTGAACGCTTGACCTTTTTTAGGACACCTGGTTCATCCCACTGTGTTTTTCCACCCTTAATGTACGGATGTCCTTTGTTTGACAGGTTCAACAAAGTGTCCACAACTCTTTCTACAATACGGCACCCTCTGACCCTACCTATGCTGCTCTTAAGGGTATTACTAGTGCTAGAGGTGCAGATGGTGTAATATATGGTGCCCTTGCCAGCCAGGTGTATGGCTCTGTCGCTGACCAGGTATACACTGAGCTGGCCAATCATAATCCTCCCCCCGCCATACCAGAAGAAGTAGAAGATCCAAATGCACCAGATCCAACAACTCTTTTTGAAGCAGCGAGAGCCAAGTTTTTTCAGGACGGACAGAAGGTATTTCGTTTTAATAAAAAGATTGTTTAGATTTTTTTTTGCCTTTGACTGTACTTCTGTGTGTAACATTTGTGCACATTCTGGTCCAGGTTCTGGCAGAGCAGCATGTAGGAAGAAAAACAGCACCATCAGAGAGTGAGCGGGATCGCAGTCCAATCAGAGGAAATCGAGCGCCCCTACTCCCTGACCCTGTTCCAGGTTCTTTTGCTCAATCACGACCCAAACGACGTGCATTGCTCCCAACACCACCTGGAGTACCGCCAGAGGAAGCTGCCACCGCTGCTGCTGCTGCAACCACTGCACCTGAGGGGTCAGATCCTCTTTCCAGGTATTTATAATTTTTTTTTCTTTTTTTGTGAATGAATATAGGAGACTAATTCTAATTTGCATGTTCATGATCGATGAGCTACAAAATTATCATTATAGTGTAATTTGTTTTAAATAGATGTTCAAGAGTTCAAAATGTTCGCGTAGAGTTTGAAGAATGAACATGTCCACCTACTTCACTTTTAAATTTGGTTTAATTATTGTGCATTTTATTCTTTCTCTGTTTAGCCACTGTCTTTTTTCATTGAGTTTGAGTGTGTTTTAGTAAGTAACAAAAAAATCATTCTGTTGACATTTGTTGAATTCGCGTGTAAATTAAGCCTTACTTACCTTAAGAATATTTACATGTAACCGCTATTTCAGGTCCTACACAGAGTACTACCAGCAAATGCATCAATACCAACAGTATCAACAGTACCAACAACAGTACCAGTACCTCCAGTATGCCTACACCAATCCTCCACCTCCTCCTCCATTACCGCCACCATCCACCACAGGACAGGCCTCTCCCACGGCCCCTCCGCCTCCAGGGACATACTCTGCCCCTCCTTCGTACAACTCATCAGAAGCCTACGGACCACCGGGAACCTACAGTTCTTCAGGAAGTTACAACGCCTCGACGGGGAGCTACGACGCCACGTCCGGGAGCTACGACGCCTCATCGGCAAGCTACAACAACTCGACGGGCTATGACGCTTCAGGAGGCTACGGAGCATATGATTCATCTGGAGCTTACACAGCAGCAGGAAGCTACTCCACGTCCACACCGTATGAGCAGACACCCGCACACGGGCAACCCACGCCCCAGCGCCATGATTACCCTTATCACACGCCAGAACCCCCTTACCGATAGTTTTACCCCCCCACCCCGCACACTTTTTCCACACTGTAGATGCGTGAGCGTTTGTGTGATTGTGTGTCTGTGCGCGTGTGTATGCGCGAGTGCATGTGTACTTACATGAGGGACAGTGACAACGGCAGAGTCAGGCAGGGAGCGACGATGTAATTTGAACAGGTTTTTCAATCTCTAGCATCTTCTTTTCCTCTGTACATTTTATCCCTCGAGTCTCATCTGCTCAGTTGAAGGTTAATTTAGGAAGAATCCAACAGTAATCAGAATTAGTAATTGGTCACAGCTGGTCTATTTTTGGAATATTCCCTAGATTTAAGTTTTGTTACATTAGTTTTGTCAATTTCATCACAATTCTTTGGTTTAGTCAATCTGGATTGATTTTAATGGAAGGGTTTAAGTAGAGCAGTCTTGGTTTAAGGCCACTTACATACTCTACACAAATGTATGTCCACACAGACCGAACCTTAGATTCTACGACCATGTCACAGTCTAGTCTAGGTTTTAATAAAAAGAAGATTGTTTACTTCTTTTTTTTTTTTCGTTTTAATAAAAAGATTGTTTAGATTTTTTTTTGCCTTTGACTGTACTTCTGTGTGTAACATTTGTGCACATTCTGGTCCAGGTTCTGGCAGAGCAGCATGTAGGAAGAAAAACAGCACCATCAGAGAGTGAGCGGGATCGCAGTCCAATCAGAGGAAATCGAGCGCCCCTACTCCCTGACCCTGTTCCAGGTTCTTTTGCTCAATCACGACCCAAACGACGTGCATTGCTCCCAACACCACCTGGAGTACCGCCAGAGGAAGCTGCCACCGCTGCTGCTGCTGCAACCACTGCACCTGAGGGGTCAGATCCTCTTTCCAGGTATTTATAATTTTTTTTTCTTTTTTTGTGAATGAATATAGGAGACTAATTCTAATTTGCATGTTCATGATCGATGAGCTACAAAATTATCATTATAGTGTAATTTGTTTTAAATAGATGTTCAAGAGTTCAAAATGTTCGCGTAGAGTTTGAAGAATGAACATGTCCACCTACTTCACTTTTAAATTTGGTTTAATTATTGTGCATTTTATTCTTTCTCTGTTTAGCCACTGTCTTTTTTCATTGAGTTTGAGTGTGTTTTAGTAAGTAACAAAAAAATCATTCTGTTGACATTTGTTGAATTCGCGTGTAAATTAAGCCTTACTTACCTTAAGAATATTTACATGTAACCGCTATTTCAGGTCCTACACAGAGTACTACCAGCAAATGCATCAATACCAACAGTATCAACAGTACCAACAACAGTACCAGTACCTCCAGTATGCCTACACCAATCCTCCACCTCCTCCTCCATTACCGCCACCATCCACCACAGGACAGGCCTCTCCCACGGCCCCTCCGCCTCCAGGGACATACTCTGCCCCTCCTTCGTACAACTCATCAGAAGCCTACGGACCACCGGGAACCTACAGTTCTTCAGGAAGTTACAACGCCTCGACGGGGAGCTACGACGCCACGTCCGGGAGCTACGACGCCTCATCGGCAAGCTACAACAACTCGACGGGCTATGACGCTTCAGGAGGCTACGGAGCATATGATTTATCTGGAGCTTACACAGCAGCAGGAAGCTAC